GTCTGCCTTCGGCTCAGGTCATGATCCCAGGGTCCTGGGATCGAGTCCCACATCGGGCTCCCGGCTCAGCGGGGAGCCTGCTTCTCCCTCTGACCCTCTCCCCTCTCATGCTGTTTCCCTCTCGCTCGCTCTCTAAAAAATAAATAAAATCTATAAAAAAAAAAAATACTGAGAACAATCTAAGCAATGACCATCAGAGTCTAGGACCATCACAGACACACACAAAAATCGGTGGGGCTGGAAGGGCCTCCTGATAGAAGCAGATACTGCCCTCTGTGAAATAGTCTTCTGAAAAAGGCAGAAAGGAATCAGACAAGCCTGGACCCCACCATCACTTTATGAGAAATATAGATGTTAAACCCCATCAGAGAGACACAACGCAATCCAGAAGGTGCAAAACCTATAGGACGAATGATGCTGTTTCTTTAGCAGTAACAACAACTGTGAGAGAAAAATAGAGGAGGAACCTGTAGAGTAAAAATGACTTCAGAGACCTATCTCCCAAATGCAGTATATGGACCAATTTTATACATATATAAGCCACCTGAGCCACCCAGGCGCCTCTGGACCAATTATATTTTTAAAAATAGATGATCCGGGAAATATAGACACTGTCTAGATAATTCCATGAAAATAAAGAATTAGGGACACCAGGTGGCTCAGCTGGTTAAGCGTCCAACTCTTGATTTCAGCTCAGGTCGTGATCTTGGGCTCCTGGGGTTGAGCCCCGTGTTGGGCTCCGTGCTGGGCATGGAGCCTGATTAAGATTCTCTCCCTTCTTCTCTCTCTGCCCCTCTCCCACAAAAAAATAAAACAACTTTAAAAATGAAGAATTAGTGTCATTTTTTAAAAAGATGTGACAGTGGTATTATGGTTGAAATAATACCCAAATATTTGAAAACAGGGTCTTGAAGATGGTCTGTGGATCAAGATCCATAGTCACAGCAGCATTATTCACAATAGCTAAAATGTGGAAGCAACCAAGTGTGTGCCAATGGATGAATGGATAAGCAAAACGTGTCATATGCATACAATGGACTATTACTGAGCCTTAAAAAGAAAGGAAATTCTGGCATATCCTACAACACGGATGAACCTAGAGGACATTATGCAAAGTGAAATAAGCTAGTCATGAAAAGACAAATACGATATGGTTCCACTCCTGTGAGGTATTTAGAGTCATCAAAATCATAGAGACAGAAGGTAGCATGTGGTTTCCAGGGGCTGGAGGGAGGCGGAGAAAGGAGAGCTACTGTTTCACGGGTACTGGGTTTCAGTTTTAGAAGTTGAAAGAGCTATGAGGATGAATGGTGGTGATGGCTGAACAGCATTTTGAATGTATTTAAAATCACTGCAAAAAAAAAAAATAAAAAAATAAAAAAAAAAAGAAAAGAGGGCGCCTGGGTCGCTCAGTTGGTTAAGCGACTGCCTTCGGCTCAGGTCATGATCCTGGAGTCCC